GGGGTCCGCAGGGGGTCTTCGGCGCAGCGCTGCGACAGCCCACGCTCCAGTGAGGCCAGCGCTGACCAGGACACTGAGAGCTACCTCACAAAAACTGTGAGGAGGACATCCCCAGTGACAGCACGGCTGATCTGGGACCAGAGGAGAGGCCAACGCTCTCTGTGCCTTTAAAGGTCACCTATTGTGAAAAATCCTCTTCTCCATGTCTCTTCTACATCAACATGTGTCCCCTCTTCTCCATGTCTCTTCTACATCAACATGTGTCCCCTCTTCTCCATGTCTCTTCTACATCAACATGTGTCCCCTCTGTGTAAAGAGATTCTGAACGTTTCAGGAAAAAAGATTATCTCTCTTTTTGTCCTGATCCATTTATATAAAAACCTGTCTGAAAAGGAGCTGATCAGATTTTGGCCACTTTATGATGTCATAACGATGTTTTGGCTTGTGTAACCATTGGCCAATAACCAACCAAGGTAACCCCCCCCCCCTTATCACCTGACTCTCCTCCTAAAGCACCATTGTGTTCTTTGTNTTTGAGAAGCACTGTTCTAGGGGGTTCCCCTCTTCTGTAGTGTGGTTTATAGGTTGTTGTGCCACATTAGAGGAGATAGAACTATGTAAGTTATATTCTAAGAATATAACTTACATAGTTCTATCTCCTCTAATGTGGCACAACAACCTATAAACCACACTACAGAAGAGGGGAACCCCCTAGAACAGTGCTTCTCAAAGTGTGGTCCGCGGACCACTGGTGGTCCGTGAGCGCCCCCTAGTGGTCCGTGAGTGTATTGGTAACATTTCACATTTTAAATAAGTTCATTTAAGTTTTCCGCACTCTCGCGGGAATATCTCCGCAATGGAGCGAGCTTAAGTTTCACTTTCGATTGCATGATATAGCCCAGCGCAACACCTTCGTCACCTGTTTGTACCATTTTCAGGCGATTTGTAATCTGTTCTAGAAAAACGATGTGTTTTGGGATATTTGTGGAGTTAGGTGGCACGCGAGTGTTTTTTTATTGGTTAAGTGGTCCTTGGTATGAAAAAGTTTGAGAAACACTGATTTAGAATAACACATAGAAGCAGGAAGTGTAACATAAACACATATCTATCTGATCATAGTGTTACATCTGTTTTCATATTTCTTATTGTGGTATATTACTGCTCCCAGAATTAAACTATCTTTATGTGTTATATGTTTGCAGTCTTTAATGGTTTTCTTTATTTCCTATTCAACACATAAGCAGTGTGTCTCTTATGTAGTGTTCATATATGTTTTATGTTCTTCCCCGTATGTGCTCCTCAGGTTAAATACCATGTTGCCCCCCTCTCACCTCGTCCACTGGAGGCTTCACTGCTGTAGCCCCCCTGCTCTGTGGACTGTTTGCTCTTGTTGCTCCACGCTGAAGTCTTGTTCTGTGGAGCCGCGTCCTCGGGGCCTTTCTCCTCCTCGCTGTCAGATAAAACTCCCTCTGGACAGAAAAACACGGAGACTCTTGTTCAAACATTACATTTCTCTCACAAAACACAATGTGTGCAACGTTTAAATAAATGCAGGAGACAGGAACAACGACACAGATGCAAAAACTGGCACTCAGCACGCTGGAAAAGTGGATTTCAGGGTAAGAACTGCAGTTTAAGAAATCCAAGTATTTAGATTGAGAAGGAGAAAAGTAGAAACGGAGGCGGTGACATAGAAGCAGCATCTAACCTTTGTTTGCTTTCTTTTTCTTCTTGCTCTTCTTCCCTTTCGCCTTCTTTTTCTCCACATCCGAGGCTTCGTCTGAATTCTTCCCATCGTCTTTCGTTTTTTTCTTCTTCTTCTTCTTGTCTGACTTCTTCTTTTTCCCTGTTGATGAAGACTTGGTCACTTCGGCTTCTTCCTCGTCATCTCCCTCTCTCTCAAGGCTGTCCGCCACCTCCTTCTCTTCTCCTCCGTCTTCTTTTTGCTTTTCCTGTTGAGGACGAGCTGATTCTTCAAAGTCAATCTCTTTTTTCTGATCCATGGAGTTGTCTCCGCCATCGCTCCCCTTTCTGATTTGTCCACAATCACCATCCTCCTCTTGCTCTCCATCTTGGGATTCGTCTTTCTGTGCCTTGGCTTCTTTCTCCAGCTGCTTTTCTCTCCGTTCTCTCCTCCTCTGCTCTTTCTTCTCCTGCTGCTCCTTCTCCTCATTCTTCCTCTTCTCTTCCTCTTCTAACTCAGTTTCTGTCCTTTTAACTCGCCAGCATCCGTCCCTCCATTCCCACTCCGGCTGGTTCGGAGCGGACTCGCCCTCTTTGTTTTCCCCGGATTGGTTGCTCTTTGATCCGGTGTTGCTGGCCTTGCTTCTTCCTTCCTGTGCCGTGGAAGTCTGACCCGCCTCCTGCCCGTTGTTCTCCCCGTCGTCCACCTTGTTGATGATGGTGGTGACCTGCTCGGTGAGCTGGTCGCTGACGGCGTACGTGGCGTCGCTGACGGCCGTGGCCAGGTCGTCCACGCGGCTGGTGACCGAGTCCAAGAGGGAGGAAATGTTGACAGTGGGGAGGTTCTGCTGGAAACTCTTGAAGAAGGCCATCTCTCAGCCGGGGATGCAGGAACGCTAGATTATCTCATCAGAGCGCTGATAGGACATGTGGTTGTTAGCAGGGTGTGGAGCCAGCATCACAATGTGAGCTGAAACAATACTCCTAAGATTGTTATACATGTTTTGAAGCAAGAGTTATCTTACCGGTACAGTGTTCTTGTATTCTTGTGTTTAATTGTTTAACCACAATAACATTTACATTCATTTATAAACCCGGCGTAGCAGCAGTTCAAAAAATGTTACTCAACTTAAACACATGTTTTCTCATTCTCAGTGTTGCTCCCCAAACTGTTTATTTCAGACTGGGTGTTGCCCAGTACCTTGCAGATATATTCTCATTTTTGATCCTGTATATCAATCTTTTGGGGTTTATCGAATAGCAACACACTTTTTGATCACAACGTTATTGATTGTCAACAAATGAAGCTCAGCGCAAGTTCAACCAGGAAGACCGTCTTTACTTTTCATGTATTTCTATTCCCATGTTACTACTCTCTCTCCTCTCAATAAGTGACCGGGGGCGTCACTCTCCAGCTTAACCAATCACTTCGCTCTATTCCCAAGAGCCTATCATAACGCTCTGTCAAACCTTTTAAATCTGCTCTCCCCTCTGACAGCTGTCATTTCAGGTGACTCGACGCAACCACCCTCCACCCCTTTTCACCTCCTGTCCCTCTGAATCCAGGGTCAAGCTAAGCCCCTCCCCTTCAGATCGACCCAACCATCCATTCACCACCACCAGTGTCTAGACCCCAGGGGGGTTTCATCGGATCGGCTCTACCCTCCCGAATGATACTTCCTGCACAACGGGGCCTAATCGCCAAAATTACCATTACATTCATTTGTGTATCTGCGTAATAAATATGTATTCTTACATCAAAACCGTCTCTCCTGATTGAAGTAGCAGCTGATCTGTTATGGAAACAGATACATTAATATTGATACTGCATTATTTGTAGGCCTGCTGTAGATATGCAAAGCACCTGCAACAACAACACCAACAGTGGCTCTAAAATGAATCATGTTTGTTCATAAAAACTGAATCTGAATTATGATTCCATAATTCAGATTTAGCTTTTCACACATCTTGGCTTATTTAGTAAAACTATGCAGCTTCAAAGCTCAGCATACAAACACATATGAAACCACTATTGGGACACATTGCACGCAAAAGTATAATAAAAAAAGTGTCAAAACCCACTTCTTTATGTGCGTATTGGATTGGATCTTATTGCCTTTACCCCTACACAACTGGAGCTTATTTAATTGTCCTCTCTGAAAGGATGGGGACCTTACGGTGGTGCTCTGATGATGCAACTGAATAAGAAATAAAGTGATTCGCTTGTCATGATCTTTTTGTGTTCGATGTTTCCTGTTTTATTTTTAAATGCAATTGAAATGTTTGTCTTGTCTGCTTTGAATTCCTGTCTTTGTGTTTTTTGCCGCCTTTGTAATTGCCCTGATTCTTTCCACCTGGGTGTGAGCTCCTTGCCTCCCCTGTGCCTTTACTTGCCCTCAGCTGTTTCTTGTTAATGTAATTAGTCATGTCACTATATGCCTGCCTGCGTTCCTTTTTCAGTCCGTCGGCTATGTTCCCATCTGTTCTCCCTGAGGTCCTTCTGTTCTCCCTGAGGTCCTTCTGTTCCTGATCTTATTCCTCCAGCTCCCTGGTCTGTACATCTTCAGTGTTTCTTTGGAAGAGGACATGTTTTGCACAAAATAACTGAATTATCATCCTAATGTCTGTGTGTAAATGCAGCCACTGTGGTTGGTCTGTGTGTGTGATGAGTACCTGGATGTCTGTTCTTTAACCCGTTGAGATGTGACGGGTCGTCAGGACTCGCCACTGACAGCTTGTTGCTGAGGTAAAGAAAAAACAGAGCCATCAACGCCATGAAGGCTGTAATGGAAGACAGGACACCCAGAAGCTCAGGAGAGACTGAGGAGGAAACAGAAATAAAGGGAGGCGGGGGGGGGGGGAAAGACAGACATGAAAAAAAGATAATGTAAAAATTAGACCAACATAATACTGATTATGGAGATATGTAACAGTTACATTTATTGTTTTCTAAAGAGAAATGGCTGTTAATAAAAACAAATGGCTTCAAGTTTAAAGTTAAAAAAAAAGTACATCTTTCTAATAAGCATCTTATTTTGGAATCAAACTCCTTAAATCTTGGCCTGTCAGTGGAGCATATTGTGTTTCTAAACAGTCAGTGGTTGTTCCACTTCAAAGGCACCACACAGTCTACAGCAGTGTATGTAGGCCAACCATACTGCATGTAACCATGCTGCTCTGCGCTGCTGATGTGCTATTTTTATGAGAGCCTCAAAGGAGCTGTATCTGAATGAAATGTGGACTAAACCAGCCAAACCGCACCGGGCCTGCACTTCATGTGTTAAAAAACGCAGACACACCACATCGCAATAGCTGGAGAAAAGGGGAAGTTTTATGGATAATGAAGCATGAACGATATTTCTAAAGACCAAATGCCCCAGTGGAAAGGGCAGCTTGTAAAATGAATACCCATAATATGTGGTGTCTGGTTTTTTAACACCAGTTTTTATGATCCCAGTTGACATTTTCAACAATGAATCCCTCAGTATTTTATTAGGGTCACCAATCTTGAAGGCTTTGAACGCCCACACAGGTGTTTATTATTGACTGTTTACTAAACCTGTCCCCTGAGCAACCATGTTCTAATCGTAGCTTAGCAACTGTAGGAGTGCTATACATCTCCACAGTGCTTTGGTGGACCAAAACCAAAGAATAAAATGTCTAAGAATTGGATTCAAGTGTGTTTGTTTGTATAGGCCGCAGAAGTTAGCATGTTCAGCTAATTAGCTTACTAACCGCAAGAAAAACGTTGTTACTTCCAAGGCCGAGAGTTATCATTGCTACATTAGTTTTGTTCCAGGATACGCTAGAAAAAATGATAGTGATATTTATTTGCATCGTTCTTTGAATCGTAATTTTAAAAAATAAGCAAAACTACCAGAAATGTCCAGCTTCCTCGTTTGAGTTATTTAGAAGTTAATTTGACAGATCACATTCCATAATAATTTAATTACAGTAACATTGACAACATCATACAGTAGCTCAAAGCTTATTTTTCTCCTCAGTCCCCTGGCAGTTGTGAGGGTTTGCTGTCATTTTTTGTCTTATGTGTTGAAAATTCGTAATCGTAGTATTAAAAAAAAAAAACATAAATCTGGGTTTAGGTAACATAAGTTGACTTTTTCAAAAATGTTTGACGTTTAATAGATACAGTGAATTGACCGATTTAAGAAAATATGCAGCTGACAACTCGATTATCAAATGATGTGTAAGTAGCAGCCCTATAATAACATGTATTTTAAAAAAGCAATGGTAATGCAGGCCAAATGTTGTACCATGGGTTTTATAGCCGGGGCTCATTTAAAAAACAACCATCACCTGTCACTGATTAAATTGGATTTCCCAGAGAGCACAAATGAGAAAGCAGGAGAGAAACATAAGTCATAGTTTCTCACCCCTCCCGACTACAGATTGAACTTATGGACTTGTTTCACCATGGCAACAGGCAGAGACCACTGCAGCCTGACAACTAGTGCTGCCGCAGAACTGCCAAAGTGATGAATGCTAAACTCCAAAGAATGGCAAGAGAAGTAGGAGAGAGAGTGAGATAAGAGAGAAGCGATGTGGCGGCAGGAGCTTACCTTTGCTAAATGAATATCCTCTTTAATACCAGCTGTTCCCCAAAAGCACTATTCTGCTGCTATAGATAGTAAAAGATCTAAGAAGAGGGGAAAAACAAAGTTGTCCTGCTCTGAAGTAATCCAACATGTAATAGATCCCTCACACTTAAGTCCGTGCCAACACTTTCCAGGCTTACGTATCAACTCTCACTGCAGACGGTGTTGGTGATTGAGCCAGAATGACCTCTGCGGCCATCGGGAACAGCGGCGGCTTGTCTAAATGATCAGCTCGTGGCCCGGAGTGTGAAGACACTTCATACGTGGCCCTGCTCTGTAAATGTCAAAAGGGCTGAATAATTTAGGTAACCTGAGGTAACCTGAAGCCTCCATCCATGTACACTGGCAAATTGAGTTATGGCGAGCAGCTCAACCATCAATCAGTTATTTCTCTGTTATAAAACCCATCATTATCAAGAAAGCGGAGCACATTGAAGTCGTTTTCTTTTTTTCCCTCAGCCACTTTCCTTTCTCTCTATCAGTCTGAACAGAATGAACAAGAAAACATAACTGAGTAAATATGTTGATTTGTCATGGCGTGTGAACAGGATTCAATCTGCTCTTTTTCTACCAGGTAATGACTTCAGCAAGCTGACGAACAAACACAGCAACTGAACCATTCAAAGTGCAAACAAGCAATGAACAATACCCTCAGAGAAACTTGAGTTCATTAGGATAAATTGTTTTTCTGACATAAAAAGAAGGGAAACAAATGACTGTTACACATCGTTGCGATACATATCCTCATTGTGGGCATAAATTATCCATTCATTTATAAATCTATTTACTTATCCAACTTTGAAGCTTTTGGATCAGTGCATGTTTAACTTTGTTTGAGTTTATAGGGTGTGCTTGTTTAAAAAAGTAGGTAGGCAATCTGGAAATGTTGCTTACACATGGACTTCTGATATGAAACAAAACCTTGATGCTGAATAAATCATGAACACAGCTGCTGCCTTTTGCTGAAGTAAACCAAAACTTGATACGGCGTGCATAATTCACAGGCGGTCATTATGCTTTCAGTAGTTTATCTACACTAGAAACACTTTGTTTCCACCAAACGTCAGGTAAAACTGGATATAGCAATTGTTTTACTTTTAAAGTCATGTTAAGTATTACAAAGCACGCATAGCATTACGCTCGGGATCAAAACAAACACACATAAAGTGATACTAGTTCTTGTTGTTTGAAGCAGGGATTAATGAGGTACTTATCCACAGTCTGTGTATTTTCTATGGTAGATGGCGATAAGCAAGCCACCCGTTTGGAGAAGCAGACAGGAGCCCCCACTGGACTATCCCCACAAACACTCAGATACTCAAATCCAGCACAAGACACCTTTTTTTTTAGGCTGCTATGGACAATCTGCAATAAATGCACATTTTATGGACAATCTTGCACCAAAGATATTGATATTGAAGTGACTGTTATTTTGTTATATGATTGTTGTGTTTTTTTTCTTTTATCATAATGTGTAAATGTGTCTGTTGATTGTGTATATAGGATATACATATTTTATACATATCTGTATACTGTATCATTTTACATTCAGGATTGTTGGAAACGTCATTTCGATCTCTCTGTAAACACAAACTGAGTAACGTTGACATTAAAGTATACTTTGACTTGAGTACCAGCACATATGTAAAGCAATGGGACAGCAGCAAAACATATTTTAAAATAAAAGCCCATCTTAAAATAATATAAATGTAAGTGTATGCTATAATTAATATATTTGTATAGCTTTACCTTGCTGTTAGACTGTCATTTTTTTTATAGTGTTGAAGTTGTGAAGTGCTGGTCTTCCCTTGTCATGATAGGTCAGTTTGTTAGTGTTTTTTCTGGGACTTTGGTGTTTAAATGTTAATATTCTAAATATAACATACAGTAGGGCTGCTCGATTATGGCAAAATTCATAATCTCGATTATTTGGGTCAATAATTGTAATTGCGATTATTAAATGCGATTATTCATTGACTTTGAAAACATCCATTTATTGGAGAGAAAAAAATGTGAACAGTATGTTTTTAACAGTTGATTACCCTGAACTTTAAGTATAATTCAACTGAAAAAAAAAAAAAAGTATTAAAAAAAAAATAATCGTTTTATTTCTATTACGTTGTTTTCGTAATGGTTGCAAGCCATAATCATAATCGCGATTAAAATACGATTAATTGAGCAGCCCTAACATACAGTTCCACTAATATTGTTTCTTTTAGGTGGCTAAATTACATTCTGCTGCTGCCCCCGTCCACAGTACATTGCCTAGCATCTGTGTTGTTACTTTGGTCTGTTTCTGCAAACTGAAAGTGTTACAACATCTATCCCCTGCAGGTACAGTAATACGCTGACTATGGATAAGTGCCTCCTACAGAGCTGCTTCAAACAATCTGAACCATCCTTGTAATGCAGACACACAAGTGCAATGCTCGGTTGTAAACATGGCTTTACCTTTTCTTGCACAGATGAGCTCGTGAACACCACAGTTCCTCCCCCCTCCTGGGAGAGAGAAAGAAAAGTTGGGAGTCAAAGGTTATAAAGATGATTCCATGTACTGTAGAAACACATGTTCATTGCCTCAGGTTAGTGAAGCTGGCAGATGGTGCTTTGAATAAAACTGATTAGCTGGAAAGAACTGAGAAGAAACACTCACATTCAAATGGGTATGCAAGAACATCACATTAATATGAATGTGCCATAACAAGGAGGTATTTTGTTATAGTAGAATATTTGTATATGCATGTTTGAGGGGCCTATAGCTAAAAACTAATAGTTAAATATTTTGTATTCACTGTTTAATGTGAGTTAAGTTAGAAGATTTCAGAATCAGAATTGGTTTTATTACCAAGTAGGTTTACTAGGATAAGGGCTGGGGACATCTCTAAACGGTAGACCAATCACAATCGAGCCAGCCAGCCAGCCAACCAATCAGAGCAGACTGGGCTCTGGTTTCAGACAGAGGGTGAAAGAGGTGCAGCACAGGCAGCCCTTTCTAAACATTAAAGCATGTAAATGTGTCACAGTAGATGCAAAAAACACAATTATGAAACCTGAAAATGAGCATAAAAGGGCCTCTTTAAAGTCTTAGATTAAAATAAGCGGGGTCATGACCTCGGTGACCTCGATGCTTGAACCAGTTTGAACACTGTTACTATGAATATATCATCAGTTTAAGGCATATCTCACCTAATTATCACCAATTATTCAGATCCTTTTACATTATACAGAAATATTTTTGAGGTTTTACATGTCACGATTTCCTTCACAATCCTCCTGAGGCTTAACTTAATAAAGGATACAGACACTTGTATCACCCCTCCTCACATTCAAACATTCAAAGGCTTATATACACACACACACACACACACACACACACACACACACACACACACACACACACACACACACACACACACACACACGTTATCTCTCTCGGCTCAACACCTTAGTACTTAATGATTCAGGTATCTGAGGCAGAAGCAGATCTCTGCTGTATAAATGTGGCTCTTAATTACAAAACTGTGTCAGGGATTAATTTGAATTACTTCAGAGAAACCGCAGAATACCTCCCTCCCTATCTTTCTTTTTTATGTATGCCTTTTATGCAATAAAAGATGATCAGAAATGATTTCCTTTTATTTTTGTTTGACTGAAGAACCAATTTGTTCTATTTTAAAATTACGTGAAAACAGCAGAAAGGCAGAACTGAAAACACTCTAATATCTTCCAAGTATTATTTTAAATGTGGGTATTTTCTTTCCCTAATGTCCCCTGAACTCAGTTCAAATAGGCCTAGTTCCAACCAACAATCAATGGACTTAATGTGTAATTTCCCTACTTCGGGGATTGGATACTGAACATGTTCTGAGGTGTAACCTCGGTCCCAGAGTGAGGAGGAAGCTCAGACACAAGTATCAATTCATTTAATGATACAGAATACCTGTTGGCTGTTCTTGCGGAAACACAAAAGGTGGCCAAATGCGGCAATCAGTAATACATCGGTCACTGATATTCCTAAAATTAAAAGTAAGGCTTTTTAGGAAAAGTGTTTTAACTGCCTTAATCTTCAGTTGTATAAAGCACAGGTTTTCAACTGTTTCTCAGCCAAGGACCTGTGGAGAATATACCAGGAACAGCTTATATCCCCTTTTTCAACTGCTTATAGAATAGTTTGTACAAGATCAATCCAAGGGCTACATAATGGTTGACTGAATACTTGTTTTAAGATGTTTTAGGACATATTTAAAACAAAACTCTGATGTAAATAGTTTTGATTAATATATACCCCCACTGTCCCATTTATTTGGCAAACCTTTACAGTTTAATGTAATCCGAAACAAGGCTTCTGACTCATGAAGTCTACTTGTATGGACGTTAGATTTGTGTTGACACTGTCATAGAGGTGTTTATCAGATGTTGTACTGGTCTACATTGTAATAAGATGTGTAGCATACTACTGTAACCCTGTCATCTATGTAAATGTAGGGACTCTCCCCAGCATATTGCAGTCCAGTACAACACTTTAGTGTGATCTAAAGTGTGACACATTTCCAACAATGTCACTACTAGACAGTGAACATTATAATATAAACTTTGTAAGGTATAATTGTTTGCTGAGTAGTTGCATCATGGGATTGCATAGATAAATAGAGAACTGTCTAGGCTGCACGGGTTGCGATTTGTAAGAATGAACCACTGCTGTATGAATAATATAAGATTGATTACAATATATGAATTGCACAGATAGCCTATATTCCCTGTGCCACTGGCGAGTCACCGCTGATATGTCTTCATGAAGAAGCCGTATCCCCTCTTTCTCTCTCTGCTGGTGTATCAACAAACACTGCTGCTGCACGCATGGCTGCACGTGACACAATAGTGCCCACATTACGGGACAGGACCAAGGCACGCGCCTGTACTCTTCAATGACTCCATCGTTTTTGTCACTGCTCAGTGTCATGTGTTCCCATCATTTTAAATAAAACCAGCAGGAGACATCTGACCTGTCGTCATTGTGTAGGCTACACATCATATGTTGTACACGTTACTCATGAATTGTAGTAATATCAACATCCCATTGATGTATACAGACAATGATGCACCCACAATATTAACGCTTATCTATCAGAAGGTTTTCGAACTCAAACGTTATTTTTTAATCCGCCAGGTTAGATCGTTAACGGTTACAAAACAAAGTTGTTGTCAGGTGATGCTAAGCAGCCTGCTGTGATTTTCGGTTTGAGACAAACATAAATATTTAAATGATTTCATATTTCACGAGTGTCTTAATCGAATATTTTGCGCATACATGACACAAAGCAGAGAGACTATATGCGTCCACTTTCACTCGTAGAGCATGCATCCCATGAAGGGATCATAACATTCCTGCAGCAGCGCGGGTGATGCTGCTAGCTGTCCCAGCCACGGCTCCGGAGCACTGCGGAACTCACGGAGGGATTTTAAAAACAAAGCCGGGAACAAAATGACAGCCTTCCTAACCTACCATGTGATTTTTTTTTCTAACAGCGTGTTTATTCTGCCCCGATCAAAGTTTTACACGAGTCCCGCAGGACACCTGAGACCGAGTTCTTACCGTCAATCGCCATGATGCTCCGTCCCGGACGCTACCAACTGTGGGGGTGGGGGGTGCTGGAGGAGGGAGGTCATTCATGTGCCGGTGGACGTTGTGTGTCTGTGTGTCTGTGTGTGTGTGACAGAGAGCGATTGTATAAGCAATTGCTATTTCAATAACAGACCTGTGCACCATGTCATATTCATTCATTTAAACACAAAATATACATGTACAACTGTAAAATAGGATAAGATTCAACAACACTTTAGTAATCCAAGAAGGTAATTTGATTTTGGGCAGGTAAAGGTAAAACCTTTACATATAATGTCTATGAGTAAAACAGAGGGAAAAAAACATATGCATACAGACATTTACAGTTCAAGTACAATAGCTGTTTGGGAATATGTTAGGCTGGTTATGCAAAATGTCTGAAACAAGTCATAATTAAATAACTCTAATAACAAATGTGTGAATAGTTTACATGACGGACCTAGTCATTTTTAAGTTGTTCATGTGCCAATCTCCAGGTAGAGAACATAATTGTCCTTTATGTATTTTCTCATTAACCAAAAATACTGACGTGATTTAAACCTTGTATCTCTTGTCTGTTTTTGAATAAGCTGAAAGCACAACAGCTTAGTTACCTTATATTTACAAAAAAATGTACACAAAGTTATATGGACATGGGGAGGCGTTCAGCCAATCAGGTGCGAGTAATGCCCACCTCTGCCTACGTCACAGCTTGGAGACACGCCCATCCTCGTTTTGATAGATTTCCGCAAAGTTTACAGACTGTTGCTTCCTCACAACAATTCTGAGTTTCTTTAGCTTTTAAGACGTTTAAAACATTATAAAAATGAGTGAAATCAAACTAACCGAATCAGCTCCAACTGAAGACAACGGAGAGGAGAAAGACTGGGCTGCTGCCAAAGCTTTTTTTGATAACCTCAAAACAAACAAACCAAGACCTGTAAGTACTTTTGCTAAACAGTTTTATGATCATACATTTGTGTGTAAGGTTCAGACACTTTCTTGCATACAAAATGTGACTTAATAAGCAAACACGACTGCAACTACATGTTTTATTCATCCAAACATACAGCCCAAACCCCGGTATGCTGTCACCATTGCCGTTTCCTCTCGCACCCTCTTCAACATGGCGAAGGCGAGGAAGATCTATGAGGATGAAGGATTGGAGAAGTATGTGGCTTATCAGATTGAGCATGAAAGCGAGCCTCTGATGCCTGGAGCTGCTTTCCCCTTCGTCCAGGTAGGCCTGATCCGGTTCTCTGCAGGGCGTGGTGCCTCAAACTGGTCGATTCACCATAATGCGTTGTTGAGTCGACAAAAGCCACAAAAAAAAAACTTACATTGTAAAAATCGACAGGGGTCTCTGATAATGAACAGTATGAGTCAGCGTTTTGAGTGTAGATTTTTGTGCGAGATTCTTAAAGCCATGTTTATACCCAAGAAAGGCCACACCTCAGTAAGTCTTGTCAAGGCAGGTATCTGTATGGCACCTTCATATCCCGTACAATCAGGAAATTGTCAATTAGCATTTTTTCTTCTAACTTCCACATTTGTCAAGTTTATGTACCCAAACATTGCAGAAAGGCAGTCGTTGGCAATACAACTCTCCATCAATGCTCATTACATATGTTAATGTGTTAAGTTAATAACAATTGAGACCTAAGACATCAAATAGTGCAAGGTAAAATGTAGGGTTTAAAATGTTTATTATCTAACAATATTGTGTTGAAGACAGTATTTCGCATAGATAAACTAAATGTTAGTTGCAGCACTAATATTTATTGTCTATTGCCAAAAAGTATTTTGAGCATTACAACCAGGAAACGTCCTGATGGGACTATCAACATAGGAAATGAATAAACTTGTCACTTCTCTCTGTGGTCATGGCACGACAGGTTAATAACATTACATTTATGTTTTCTAATATTGCAAATATATACACAAATAATATTGCTGTGATGAGCTAATAATGAGCTATTTATCAGCTGAGCAGTTTATTAGTCTGGCTGTGAAGTCCATGTTCACACCCTAATTAAGGTGTTACTGGTTCATTAAGCACAGTCCTTTGTTTTGGTGTTGTTTTAATACCTTAATGTGCTCTTTTAAAGTCCTAACAGTAGGAAAGCTGTGTCACAATGTTGTAATGCTTTTGTTGTAACATCCTTTTAAACCCTCTGACACCACATCCTCCTCTCTCTCACAGGCGCTGATGAATGTCAACTCTCGACTGAGGCAGCTCTACCCAGACAGCGAGGAGCTGTTTGACATCGTCTTAATGACTAACAACCATGCCCAAGTCGGAGTGCGCCTCATAAACAGCATTAATCACTACGGTACGCTGCGTCCATAACCACACTTTGTTTAATACACCGCGGCGTCTCTCCTGCTGCAGCAACAGGAGTGATCCACAACAGTAGAGTCTGGTAATGACACACAAGGTGTTCTAGTGTCGAATCAGCCTTCTTTACTTAAAGGTCACCTATTGTGCAAAATCCACTTGTTCATGTCTTTTATACATCAACATGTGTCCCCTCTGTGTAAAGAGATTCTGAAAGTTTCAGGAAAAAAGATTCTCTCTCTTTTTGTCCTGATCCATTTCTATAAAAACCTGTCTGAAAATGAGCTGATCAGATTTTGGCCACTTTATGATGTCATAACGATGTTTTGGCTTGTGTAACCATTAGCCAATCAGCAACCAAGGTAACCCCCCCCCACCTTATCACCTGAATCTCCTCCTAGAGCACCATTGAGTTCTTTGTAACCAAATCTCTCTCATCTAAAGCAGGGGTGGGGAACCTCCGGGTGGGGAACCTCCGGCCCCCAGTAACAGACAGGGAGAATCAGGCACTTTTGAAACAGGCTGAAACAGAGGGGATTATGGGTTAATGCTACAATGATCTGTTTGGTGTTTGGAGCCAAACACTTCAGAGACATGTTTGTATATATCCGAGACCTATAATGTATTGATGAAAAAGAGTATAATAGGAGACCTTTGACAATCTCTAACCCGCTTTTCAGATTTGAGCATAGAGAGATTTTGTATGACCGGAGGAGAAAGCCCTATAGGCTACCTGAAGGCCTACATGACCAACCTTTACCTCTCCAAGGACTCCGACAAAGTGACAGAGGCCATAGAAGAAGGTAAGTTGACATTATAACCCTGATTTCTCTTTTTATGTATAAGTTACTTTCAGCAGCCTCGAGATGTATAGGACTGATATTCACACATTTGCGTGTTGCGTGTTTCTGAGTGGCTCATTAATGATGTTGAGGGAAACTTCGACCCCACACTGAGCAGCAAGAAGGAGAATGAAAGCGTGTGATTTATGGCTCCCTGTCATGTCCCAATACACACGAAACAAACAAACATGAATCAATGACTTTCATGTGTAGTGCTGAAATTAAATATTTAGCTGACAGAACAAGATTGACTTTAAGTCGCTTATCAAGTTAAACTTGGAGGATCTCTTTTTTATCCCTGTAAATTGAATTTATTCGGGTTTCTGTCTGTTGGTCGAGCAAAACAAGATATCTGAAGAAGACATGCCTAAGAAATTAGGATTGGAATATTTTGTTTATGACAAACATTTGGATGGCACACCTACTATGCTCTATGTTACATAGAGCATCACTAATGTGTACAGTTCAGTGTTACGACCATAACTGATTCTCAAACAAAACTGTCTTTGTGTTTTTAGTAATAAACAAGAAATCTTTCACAGTTTACCTCGAACAACTTGGTAGCTATGAGACCACATTAGCCTAACTGTTTAGATATAACTATAAATCTCTTTATTGAAAGACAGAAGTATCAGAAATCAGAGCAAATGTGCATTAGCAGCTAAAACATTGTATATAAAACAGGAATTTGCAGCTGTGAGGTATCAAATTCAAATATAGTCTCAAAGTCACAAAGCTTGTTTTTAAAGTCCCCTCTCCTCTTTCAGGCATCGCTGCAGCCACTATGTTTACGGCGGACACGGATAATGAGCTGAGTAAGACTCAGCTGAGAGTGGCGTTTGATGGCGACGCCGTCCTCTTCTCCGACGAGTCAGAGATCATCGTGAAGCAGCACGGCCTGGACACTTTCTTTGAGCACGAGAAGGAGTTTGAGAACAAGCCTCTCGCTCAGGTAACTCATGATGTCATTGGCACCTAGGGCTTGTTATAAGTACTTGATGCGTTTTAAAATATCAACTTAAGGAACACAATAGTTGCGGGACTCCTCCATTAAAACCGTACCCGCATTTGATCCTTTTTGTACACAGATCTAGATACATTTTGATCTAGCGTGTCACTCCGGCCATTCACCCTCATCTTCCTGGGTTTAAGTTGATAGTTTCATTCTGCTGTTTGGCCAAACTGCTGTTTCAGAAGCTCTTCAAACTTGACAAGAATGTTCTCAAAGATACTCAACATAAAATGAAAGTACGATAATTGTTTTCCATCTAAATGTATCTGCCTTCAGTTGATTGAGTCCTAAAAAATTACTTTCATGCAGATCAACAACAGCATAAAACAATATAACTAATACAACTGGCAGGAAAGGACAAGAGCCCCAATGGACCTCAACTTAACAAAATAAACAAATAGAAAACACATGTTTAAACAAAATGTAAAAACATAAATGACAAAAGGAAGAGTTCACCTAATGTATTAGCTGTTTCAACAACACCTATTTGGTCGAAAATAAGTTTCTGGGAATTGTCTGCATGGTTTAGGAACCTGCTCAGTTTTTTATCAGCTCAGGCATGTTGTCTGTCCGTACAGTATGTGCTCCTGTTCGTGTGTGTTTGCATTTAGTTCCTCTTCCACCTTATTATCTGAACCTGTGTTCCTCATTTCAAAAACAATTAAATAAAACGTGATCCTTTGGCTCTTTCAGGGTCCCTTAAAGTGTTTCCTGGAGGCTCTGGGAAAGCTCCAGAGGAAATTCATCGCCAAGAACGAGCGCCTGAACTGTCCCATCCGAACCTTCCTGGTGACGGCCCGCAGCGCCGCCAGCTCCGGGGCCCGCGTCCTGAAGACTCTCCGCAGCTGGGGGCTGGAGATCGACGAGGCTCTCTTCCTGGCTGGGGCTCCTAAAGGGCCCCTGCTGGAGAAAATCAAACCGCACATCTTCTTCGACGACCAGATGTTCCACATTGAGGGGGCCCAGCAGATGGGAACCATATCTGCACACGTCCCCTACGGGATCGGACAGAAGTACCACAAGGGGAAACTCATCGAGCAGCCCCCGAAAAAGGAATAACCTAAAAACGGTTAGAATGTTTAATATGCAATACGTTAACACCTGCATATGAAGAGGTTTGCTTAAAAAGGAAGAAGATTGCATTCAGAAAAAATCCGTTAATTAGCCAATTTAGGAGGATTTGGGTAACTGATAATGCTGTCTTCAAAGTTTCCTACTTAATGGGGTTTTATCAAATATTTTTCAAAGTTTTCTTCAGGATTGGGTATTTTTTATGAGTATAGGAATGTAGTTTCAAAGCAATAGTTACACTACGTGCCACACACTGCTTCACCTAATACTGTTTTGAAAGAGAAACACCAGTTTTATTACCTATTGAGGCCTTTTAGCCATACTATCTGTGTACCTGTTTACCTTTTGAGAGAACTTTTTCTCATTTACATAGTCATTTTCTTTACACTTTTTTTATACAATAAACATGTTTATCTTATTTATCATGGCCTTGGATATTTGACCTCGGTATATTCCGTTGGACCAGGGTAATGCATCTGCCTTATGGTTGTTTTTATTGCATTTGATCTTTCAAAATCACTTTTTCTTTGTTACTGTTTTTGCTGTTGATGCAAATATAAAACACTTTATATTTTTCCTCAGAAATGTATATACTGTAACTTCACCCTCGACTAACTGTGGGTGTTTGCAGATAGCATTTGATCTATTTCATATTGGGAAAATATGTTAATGTTTCTCAACTTAACCTCATCAAGGAGTTTTAGAGTTACACTTGTTTGTTAATGTTCATTACATACTGTATCTGTTTACATTTCCCAGTGCCAGAAAACTGGCAATAGCCGGCATTGATTGTATTCATGTTCAGAATATCAGGATTCCCCTTTTTCTATACTCTATTCTATACTGTTTTCTAACTGTGCCTTTAACCTTATCAGTAAGTATAATAAAGGCATGTGGACGAACCCGGGTGACTGGTCTTTATCAGAAAAAGTAATTAAGTACATTTACTCAAGAAGGTAATTATTTTTGAAGTGCTTCTACTTTACTCGAATATGTCCATGTAATGCTAGTTTAGACCTGTTTAGACCAGTTTAGACCTGTATTGTACAGGTGTATTTTCAAAGCCTACGTAGGCCCCCTGATAACTTGATGCATGCATTATAACACTTGTCTACTTCTACATTTTGAACAGATTTTCTTTTTGTAATGATACTTTTACTTATGTAAAGTATCTGAGTACTTTCTCTACTGCTGGTCTTTCTACATCCCAGCAGTAGATGGTGCTGTTTGGCTGTAATTGTCCATGTTGATGCTTTACTGCTTGTTAGTGTTTGCCCTGCAGTACACCCTTGTGTTTGACAGGGATGCACCTCCCTGTAAAAGTAAACCTCCTGAAGCCAAGCTTTAGCAGCTTATCTTTGGGCAGATCTGTTAGACAAACTTCAATAAGTGTCAGTCAAACGTCAGCTGTTGGAGATAGAAGCTCACCTTAAATGTACACGACGAAAGAAGCCACAAGAGGGCGCTCCTGTTTAACTTTTATTAGGATTAACTTGAGAAGAGGAACAATTTAAGATGCCACACTTTTAGTGTAATTTAGTGCAAGTATATATTCTCAAAAAGAACAAAAACTGGGAAAACATCACTAGAAAATATAATTTCATATTTAAAAAGGGAAATCATAAAAGTGTGAATCAAATCTCAGGAAAATGGAAACCCCCAAAAGACAAAAATAATATTAAATCGTACACAGTGTTCAATGCTTTGAGGTACTATTTAATCCTTTTTTTAATAACTGAGCTCCCACTCGGCCCATTTTTCCAGATACTGAAACAACAGTGCAAAGCACAGCAAGAAGAAATGCAAATCACTCACTGAACTAACATTAGGCCTAATTAGAAGTTAATGAGCTATCTTGAGCTCCCAGATTTATTAATAATACCAGAGGTTTATACTTATAAGACAGAAATACAATACAATTAAAAGATAAGACATAATCAAGAATAATGTCTAAACACATTTTACTGGACCCTAAGCTTTTTCTGTTTGGCTCATATCCAGATAAAAATAGTTATAGTAATATGAACGAGCATTTAGAGACCTCAGTTTTCCTTACGCCAAAAATGTGTTTCCCTGTTAGGTGAAAATGTAAAATATTCATAGACAGAGCACTACTCCATGGATAGGACATATTATCAAGGCTACTAGAACGTACGTATAAAAGGCATAACAACATATTTTGAGAAAATGTGGAGGCCATTAATCAATTATTTTATGAATTAAAAAATGTATCAATTGAATCACTTATTTTTTGTACACTAAGCAGTTTCCAAGCGTGTAGAATTTGTATTGTATTCTTAATACTTATTGCAATAAACAACTCCATTCTGTACAGATTAGCATTTATTAAAACAGAGGTCTATGTTTGAAACAGACAGCTACATTCTTTACAAGAACAAATTATTTTGTTGCCATTTTACAACACATTTCTGCAGTGTGTGTAGTGTGGAGGAGGAGTTCATGCCTCACAGCCTGAGGGCAGCAGGGTGGAAAAGGCTGCAAAATAATAGTGAGAAGAATACTGTAATACTGTACCTACTCTGTAAACATAAAAATGTAATCCCATGCATTGAGATTAAAATAAAAGAAGCAGAAGCAAAATGTTCTTCCTTGTTAAAATATTGGCAATCAAATTCTACAAATAAACTTCAAAAGTTAATTTAGGTCTTGAAACTAATTCACCAGCATTTTACAACCTGTAATGTAAAACCTGCCGCCTACATTACCCAGAATGCAACTCAACAGGTGTTGTGCCGTGGATTGAAGCACAACAAGAGTCTACTTGATTTTTTTATACAAGATACAAATATGCAGTGATTCCAAAAACACAGGATCAGCAGTTCCAGAAAATACATACAATAAATATCTACACTTTTCTACTTTTGGTGTATTTTGTGGCCACTTACAGGCCCGGCACATGTAATACAGCGTCTCCAGCGGGTCGAGCGGTCTCCTGTGGACGGACCAGTCTATGGGACGGACACGTTTCTGGTGCCGACCTATTGCGTGTGGACCACGGAAGACTTTTTTGATATCGAATTCGGTTCGTTTTTGTTACCGTCTCCGTGTGAATAGGGCCTAAAGCTTCTAGACAGAGCATGGCTGGGCCTATAGCCTACTGACATCACCAGGTGCAGACAAGAATGACATGACAATCACCGGGGCAGTAAACAGACAAAAGGAAGAAGTGCGCGACAAATCAAGACCATCAAACATAATACAGTTAACACAGTTTGCGACGCACAACACCATGGATCCAGAAATCCATTTAGAATTAGTTAATTATAAAACAAAAGGCGAGTATCCCGAGGGTGCCTCGAAAACTCGTAAACATGTAATAAGACGACGATCCATGAGGTAGCCTATGACACCGAAGGTGAGAAATGTACAACGTAGCCTAAAAACGATTGTTTTGTATATTGAATAATCGTTTTTTCAATATAAATACAAAAAAAGTTGAACTGCAGTTCAATTGTACTATGTTCACAGTTGTTTATTAATTTCCACATTATAAGATTACAATGCATAATTAGCCTATTATAAATGTGTTTAGTGCAATAAAGTTTTTTTTGAACGGAAATAAAAGATATATTCATATTCTCCAACTTGAATGAGCTGAATATGGTCACAATGTCTACACATCTGCACTTCTTCTTTTTTAACACAAACATACAATAACTAATCTGTGTTGATTCAACAGGAGAGAAATTGTTCTTGAAAACAGCAGGCAAATCCCGTCTGTGGGTCCGAGGAAGCGGGCAGACTCTTCATCGACTTTCATGCCAGCCCCACAGTATGCGGCCAAAAAATAAAACAGGGATGCCATCTCGAAATGTTTTTTGGGCCAGATGTGCAAAGACATAGATCAATGCAAGCTTGGATACCGTAAGCTCTTCTCATATCCACATAGGTACTTCAGCCCATACATATGTTCCAATTCATAATGCCTGTTGGAACCTTTGTGGGAAAAGTACTGCGGTGTGAAAGCGCCTATTGACTCTTTTGAAATGACAAACATTTGGAACAGGGAAGAATCCAGGCTCAGAGTGAGTTGCTGATAATGACCTATCCCAGCCATGTAATTAGCTTAAACAAAACTTATAAAGTGTTTTTTAAATATATATTTCAGATAGATCCATTGTCATCTTGGGGATCGTCAATGACCACCAGCACTGGACATTAAAGGTGAGTGGAGTCAAGGCATTAGCTCCCTTTGCAGGGCTGCTCAATTAATCGTATTTTAATTGCAATTACGATTATGGCTTGCAACGATTACGAAAACAACGTAATCGAAATAAAATGATTATTTTTTTATTATTATTACTTTTTCAAATACATTTTTTTTTTTTGGTTTTCCAGTTGAATTAAACTTAAAGTTCAGGGTAATCAACTGTTAAAAACATACTGTTCAATTTTTTTTCTCCAATAAATTGATTTTTTCAAAGTAAATGGGTATTCGTTTTTAATAATCGTGATATCAATTATTGACCCAAATAATCGAGATTATGATTTTTGCCATAATGGAGGAGCCCTATCCCTTTGTCTGTCTTTAAAAAAGAATTCCTTGAATATTACATGTGCAATAAGTACTATTACAAATATTACTGTTCATTTACAAAGTCTAATACAATGCAGACTTTTGAACATATTATCATTACATATTATAGGTTATGTATCCAACCCAAAAGAGGTGCCTGTTCTTGGATCCATTAGGGGAGTCTGCTTTCAACGTTAAAAGGTGCAGGGAGACAACAAGCTAGATTTGAAGTACTGCTTTTGAACTGTCACTGTCTACTATAGAGTTCGATAGAATACAACAGATGTAAACATCACAGTAATATATTCTTTCAACACTTCAGAGCATTCTTACGAAGTAAAGGATGCAACATCTCAAAGTTGATATGGAACTCACCCCCTCCCCCCAGCAACCAGACGCCACCTCATGTGGGGTCTTTGCCTTAAAGCAGGGGTGTCCAAGCTACGGCACAGGGGCCAAATGTGAAAATTCTAAAGATCAAAAAAAGTCTGTGTTCAGACCAATGGTTTGGTGGAGAGGATGATATGGTACAATACAGAGGTGAGCAGAGAGCCTGTGTTTATTCATTGTTATGAAGACATTTTTTGAGCAGCTTATTTAATAGTACAATTGAACTAACCATGTTATAGAAACCTCTTTGACATTTTGGAAACCCCACATGTCAGAATTCAAGGTACTTCCAAGTCTCATCTGATCATTGTTGTTCTTATTTTCAGAGCACTCAGCGAATTGGTCAAACAGAGGCCAGGGACCTAGGATGAGCACCTGGATGCAACAATGTTTGGTCTTCGGACAAAAAAACAAATTACCACAAAATATTCACCCTACTTCCTGATGTTTGGGAGAGAGGCTCGCTTACCCGTCAGAGGTGTCGGAGCACTATATGGTTGGTGAACCTATAGCAATTGAGTCCAATTTAGGCTGTGTGTGCATTATTCCATTTCTACCTTGAACTTTTCTGTGAAATATATTTTCCTATTATACTATTTATGTCACCAGCGAATTTCTGTGTCATTATTTTTCTATTCATCTTGCAGTTGTGAAAGAAGCTTGGGCAGGGAATGAAAAGCATGTTCTGTAGTGACTTTTTAACCTAATACATAGGCTACTTAAGCCACTGAGAGATGGGAACGGGAGAACTAAGTTCGGACGCCTGTGTATATCTTTCAATCCATCGATCCATTTATTTTGTTCTCCATATGGCCTTTCTGTTACCATTCAGATACCAATAGATGCACGCCAGTCACGCTGAATACAAA